ATATTTATTTTTAATTAATAATTATTTTAATAAATCTTTTTATTTAATATATGTTATAATTATTTTTTTAAAATAAAGGTAAAGTACAAAAAAAAGTATTATATGACATTTAAAAAAAAAACAAATTTAAATACCCTAAATAAAAAATTAAATATATTAAAATTTAATTAATATTTTATCTATTACAAAACATCTATCTTTTTTATAAAAATATATATTTATAACATTAAATTCAAAATGATATGCAAAAAATTTTGATATCCATTATATATCATTTTAATAACAAAACCAATATGTATGTTGGTACAATATTGAGTCATTTGGTACTAATCTCATATAACACATTATAGTAAAATTAAGTCAAAAGAAATTACAAGTTATACAATCAACTAATTATCTAAGGCATATATAATAGATCTACCAACACATAAGTTATATATATATATATATAAATATAGATCTAGCCACATATAAATTATATATATAGATCTATCTGCACATAAGTTTTAGACACCATATATTCACAAAATCTTTATTTTCTTTGTCTAAAATGTAGTGATAAATTTTAACAATGAAAAATAAAGAGATGAATGGCTAATATTTTGTATGAATATGATACTTATAAGTAGATCTCTAATTATGTATAAAACTAATTATCTACGAATTAAGAAACATACCTCTGCTTTCAGCTGTACTCTTTTAAATGTGAGAAGCTAAAAGTGGGTGGAGATATCCGCTGGAATAAGGTACCCGAGAGATGGGAACAGTTATATTCTAAATGGAAATTAGAGAAGACATTGATTCACTGCTCTTTGCTTCTGCCTTTTGAATTCTAAAGAAATGGAGATACTGGAAAGAAATGGAGACAAAGTGTCAGGAAATTAACATAAAATGAAAATCAACTTTAACTAAATTAAAAATCAAGAGATGAGACGAACAACGTTTACCTTTGTCTCTAGGACTCAAGTTGTGTACTGAAAAGGAATGGATGGAGATCTGAGAATTTTTGGAGAAAGGGATGGAATTGAAGATGGATTCTCTCTAATTTCTTAGGCATTATTGGATGCTTGACCTTTTGCAAGTGGAAGCCCCACTTACAGAGAAGTAGAGGCCAAATGAGAAGCGTCTTCTACGTTTTCGAAGAGAGTCAAAAAAGAAAGGTTAAAACCTACTTTAGTCACTGTAGTTTAATAAAAAGCCTTTTTTTTCTCAACTTAAAATAGTTTCTTTGTAGTCCTTAAGATTTATTTTTTTGATTCCTCTTTAATTCTTGAAATTTATTTTTCTGACTCAATGATGGAATATCCACATCATTAGTTTGAATGGAAAAATAGGAAAGTTCTATCAAATAATGCATCAGGTATGAGAATAGAAAGACTAAAATTTTTTTAAAAATTAACTTTAGGACTAAAATGTAGATGTTTTCAATTGAGCACCAAAAAGGACCCTATAAAAAGGTTAAGGGATCAAAATTAGATTTTAACATTTAATACAAAATAGGCGTCATATAAGGAAAAAAAAAAAACGCGGAAACTTTTTTTATTCAACGGGACGTGTTTTTGGTCTTGGTCAGACTCCCGCATTGTCTGACTAGAGTAATTAATATGTCGATATAAGTGCGCCAAACCTTGAAACTCCATTGTTATTTTATTTTATTTTATTTTATTTTTTCAATAATTACATTTTTTTTTTAAATGAGGGAGAGAAATGAAATCAAGAAACTTTTAATTTTGGTTAAATGGATGGAAAGCAGTAATGTTTTCCCTCATCTGAGTGGTTCTTGAAATTCAATTAATTTTTTAATAGAATTACATATTGAGAGTTTTTTTTTTTTTGAATAAATTTACATGGGCGGATTCAAACCATTGTCCTAGGTGAAGGGAAGGGAATGCACTTATACGTGGCTGACGTCATTGGATCCAAAGATCCAAGTGCACATATTAAGAGTTTTTAGTAAAAGAAAAAATTCAAATTCAAATTAAGTGAAAAATTCTATATAAAATATAACCATTTACTCTATTTAAAACTTTTCTTAAAACTCAATCGATTTTTTTTTAAATATTTTACAATTTAAAAAATAAGAGATTTTTCAAAAATATTAATGAAATTTGAAATCTTGATTAACTAACCTATATACCTTAAAATTTAAGAAGAAACCACTTATACCCAAAAATTCCTATTCTCAAAACTCAACTGATTGGCACGGGCGGGTACAAAAGTTTTAATTACGGCCGTATAGATATCGTCTTTTCTCTATCCCAAATTATAACCGTTTAAAAAAACAAATTTTATGTTGTTTTAAGCGGTGGTCAGTCTGGACACCCGGTCCGGGTTATGGAGCATTGGGCTGATCCATTATAAGCCACAGATGGGCCCGGCTCTAACAAAAACGCCACCGGTCTCTCTCTTCGGATCTTTGTTGGGCTTTGCTATTGTAGCCGTAAATAATTGATTCTAAAAGCCCATAAGAAATTGCTGGGTGCACCCTCGTTGAGCTTCGTATGCCCAACTCGGAACACTCCTCTCTGTTCAATAAATAATTTTTACACTTTTATTTTTCTTATAAATTATTAATCAAAGGTGTTTTATATAGTCAAAATTATTTTAAATTATAAAATTTGATAATAACCAACAAAACTTATGGTTACAAAGTAAGAAAGAAGTTTAACATTCCAGACCATGTACTAATTGGGAGATTACATCATACATATCATATATACATCATTCTATTTATGGTTTATATCTCATACCATTTGAGTACTTGAAGGACGCCTTCCACGTAGTTTTTTACAAATATATCTTATTAGCCTAATGATCAATCGAATGGTATGCCCAAGAAGAAGTATCACCATCAGCCCGACCCAAATTAACAGGGAAATTTCTATTACCCGAAGCAGTGCCACAGATTCACGCTCAGGTGTATAAGCAGTTATAGCCACTAAGTATGTCATTGCCATTGCAGTAATTGCAATCCACATTATCACCATCAAGAACCACATGAACACCCTATGCCTCAGCGGCAATCCACTCATCAGCAATAAGATGATACTAAGAGAGGCCACTAGACCAGTAGTGTTGTAAGAGAGGAAGTAACTATATTTTTCTGGCTTTTGATCTGCCAGCACAGAGTACCCAGCCTCATGCCCATTAGAACTGTCTTGCCAAAAACTACCAGGTGGCGTCAGACAAGCTTGGAAGGCCATGGTTGCAATGAGCGATGCGACAACCATTAACGAGTTCTTTTTTCGTTCGAGCCAATCTACATGCTTGTTAACAACCTTCTTGTGTTTTTTCTTGCGTTGCCGAGCGTCATGTTGATTAGATGAAACTGAGGACAAGATCTGCTTCCTCATAACTTCAAGTTCGTTCTTTGGTAGAGGGATAACCTTTCCATTTACAGCTCCAACTCTTCGAAGGGACTCAGCAACCTCTATATCTTTCACATCCCTTTCGTTTTTTGACAAAAGATCGAGTACCGTGAGGCCATCTTTGTTCATCGAATTTACTTCTATACCATTAGCTACCAAGTAAATTACAGCCTGCAAAATTTGTTCTCCAAATATTAGTTTAAAAGTACAATTTGTTATGTATAGCGAGTTTAAAAAATATACCTCTTGTTGTTTATCAGCTACTGCTATGTGCAAGACAGTGTTGCCATCGTAATTCTTAAGATTCACGAATTCATGATCAGAAATTCTTTCTAGCAAGAACTTCATTGCGTCCAGCTGGTTGTGTCTCGCACACGCATGTAAAATTGTTTCACCTCTGTCCATCAGCACCCGAGCAGCCCCTGGTCTGGCCTGAACAATTTCTCCCAGGATACTGACATGACCCTTTAAGGCTGCAATATGAACCGGATTTCTCCCATCTCGGTCACGAACAAAGCACATATCAGGGCTAGCCTGTAGCAATTTCTTCACTATTTCCAAGTAACCTTTGGCAGTTGCTAAGTGAAGCGGGGATGCCTTTCGGGCATCAAGTACCTTGGCGAGCTCAGCCTTCCGGTTTAGAATTTCCTGAACAAATTGATCATGTCCGAGCATGGAAGCTATATGCAAAGGTGTTTCAGAATCGAATCCGGTAATGAATCTATCGAGAAGCAAGGCATCTTCTCGAAGTAACTGCACCAACGAATTTACATTCCCTTCAACTGCAGCTTCATAAACCCTCCCCTCCATTTTTCCTTGTGCAGCCTGTAGACCGGTGATGGCGTTGGGCAACCTTCGGCGTGATCCTACATATAGCTCGTTAAGTCTAGGTCAACTGTTAAAAATACCGACCGAAAACCTTTTTTTTTTTTTTTTTCGAAAATTGGCAATGGAACCAAAGGAGTGAATACCGTATCGACATGTATACCGGTTTTGTTATTGAAATGGTACGTACCGGATATCGAAATTTTTCACGTATTATTTCGGATTTATCGCTATAAATATATTTTTATAAAAGAAATTAATGTAATTAAGGACAAAATTTAAAAAAACCTTTTGAATTAGTAACAATCCTTTTTTTTTCAACCATTAACCTAAACTCATTATAACCCAAACAAAGATATTTTAAATGGTTTAAATTAAAAACATTAAAATAATGACAATCATTAAATAAATAATAGCAAATCACATTCAATTTACAAAAATTAAAAAGATTGACTCTTTTTTCTCAATTTATGCAGGTTAAGTCAAGAAGAAGCCACCCAAGTCTTTCTCTCTCTTTTTCTCTCCTGGCCCCACTACTGACCTTACGCACCGCAACCCGCGGTTTTGATCGGAAGCCCTCGAGCTTCCGCGTTTTGCTGCTTGAGTCGCCGGGCCTCCTGGCCGCTCAAGCACAATGGAGCCGACTATGTGCTCCGAGCTCCGATGGCCTCCGTGGCCTGTCGATTCTGTAGCCCCTCTGGTGGCTTTGTTTTTTGTTTTGTGTGGATTTTTTTGGTTTGTTTGTTTGCTTATTTGTTTGTTTATATGTTGGTTCTTTGTTTATTTGCTATTTCTTGTTCTGTTTGGTGCAGATTCGACAGCTTTCTTTCTCCTTCGGCAGCCTTCTCGGTTGGGGATTCTGTTTGTTTGCTATTTTTTGTTCTGTTCGGTGCAGATCCGGTGGCTTTCTTTCTCCTCCGACGGCCTTTTCGGCTGGGGATTCTTTTTTTTTTTTTCCTTCTTGCATAATATACCGGTCAAATTCCGATGTACTGGCTGGTATCCAAAATTTTGACCGATACACCAAAATTTGACTAATACACCTCAAATTTGACCGAAACAAAATTTTAATTTATTCATTTCGATTAACCTCCAAAATTGGTACGTACCGACCGTACAAGTTGGTACGATACGGTACAAACTACATTGAATGGGATCCAAAACTAATTCGATGCATAAACAAATTTATTAATGATGACTTTTGCAGTAAGCTGTAAGCCATTGACTGAAAAGTAAGGACTGAGGCGGGATG